TCCTGAGCCCTTTACATCGCTGCTGGAGCCCCAAGTGGCACATTCTGGACAGTGTTAAGGGCTGGATGTGGAGGAGCGGGAATGACGTGGTCCAGGTGGTGCTGAGGGCTGGCTGACGCAGCCCCACCCCATCCAGGAGCAATTCTGTCAGTCCCCCTGGGTCTATTCACATGCTTAAAGGTTAAGCATGTGCTTAAGTGTTGATCTGCAGCTTGCATTGTCAACCCTACAGTGTTTAGTTATGCAACACTTACTATATGGTGAGTCATCACAGTAGCTTCAGTGCAATTGCTTGTGTCAGTGAGGCTATGTCTAGACTTCTGAGTTATATCAGAAAAAGATATGCAAATCATGAACTGCAATTTGCGTATCTTTTTCCACTTTTTTTTAAAAGAGGTTTTTCCAAATTTGGCCCATCTACCCAGTACCAAATTGCAGAAAATCCTCCTCTTGTGGAACATCGCTTATTCCTCATACAATGAGGAATACAGGGATGCTGAACGAACGTGTCCACTTTTTCGAAAACTGTTCCGAAAAAGTGGACACATTCCTTGGATGCGGCATTGCTTTTCCGAGATATCTCAGTATCCTGGAAAAGCTCTGCAGTGTAGACATAGCCTAAGAGGCCACCAACATCAGTAATAACTGCACAATCAGGATCAAAGGAAAAAATACTAACAGTAGAATCCTTTCGTTTTAGCATATAGCAGTAGCTGCTGCTAGCCAGAAAATTGCTAAGCAAAAATTTTTAAATGAAAAATAGACATTTTTTAAGTCCATAAAATAGGGCTGAGTGACATTTTTTCCTGAACTATTTTTAGGATTTCTGCAAATAAAAATAATATTGTTGAATTGCTGGTTTTGTGAAATGCCTAGTTTTCATAAAACTTTTTGGTAACTGTTTTCAAGAGTATTTTGTCCATAACATTGTTTTTTCAATCAAAAACAAAATCCAAATACCTAGAGTTATGTGTATTTCACACACACACACACAAAATCACATTTTTGAAATTTTCATGAAATTTGTTTTGTTTTTACTTTTAAGGCTTTTCATTTGTTATTGAAATAGTTATCAAACCAAGAGAGACATTTTTTTAATTTACCAAAACACAGCTTGGGTAAATTAAAATTCGATTGTTTTAAATCATTTGATTTTAAAATTTACCTTATTCGGGCAGTGGGGAGGGGAAGAAAATTAGGTCTATTCTTTATTAAAACAACCTCAAAGATTCAAAATTGGTCATGGAACTAGTTTTGCATATGACTAGTTTTAATGATAAGCTATTTTAATACATGCAAGCAAAAATGAGTTACTTTTTTACATAATTATTCTTCTTGAAACTTCTAAAATTTCCTGAGCAAAGGGAATGACACAGAGGTATAAAATGAAGATGAAAGATGTACCAGAATGGAATTTCAAACCTGATAGCCTGAGGGTTAAACATGGACCGTTGAAAAAGAATGCAATTAAACTTTAAAACAAGAATGTACAGAATTGCCCAACTGTAATAAATTCATTATGTAGGAATAAATAAAAACAGCAATCGATAAGAAATACATGTGCTTCTTAACTACATATTGCTCATCACATTAATTGAAGTTGATTGTGTTAGTTAGAGTTTAACAATAGTCCTCCCATTTGGACATTTTTCTAACAACTTGAGGAACATCCACACGGCAATTGAGTTCTTCCGCAAGAAAATCAAAAGAACAGAGGGTTTTTTCTGGCATTGGTAATCCTCATTCTACAAGGAAGAAGCCTTTTTGCGAAAGCTCTTTTGCAAAAAGGCATGTGGACGGGGTAGAGGGAGTTCTTTCGGAAGAAGAGGAAAGAGGAAAAGCACAGGTGCCCTGATGGCTACTCCATCCATAGTAATCACAGCTTACATGCGCGAGAGCGTCCTTTCAGTCTGGATGCTCTCCTTCAAAAAAGCAGATCACTTTTTCTATGCACTTTTGCAGTGTGGATGCTTTCTTTCAGAAGAAGTTTTTGCAGAAGATCTCTTCTGAAAAAAGCTTCTTCCGAAAGAAGCCTGTAGTGTAGATGTAGCCTGAGTCTGCAGGCTGGGGCCAACAATAGTTGGAGTTCTGAATCTCTAGGCAGGACAGAACAATGGTCAGCCTGTAGCCCCCGGACAGGCTGGGTAAACAAATAGCTTACGGCTCCGAAGCCTCTTGCCTGGGGCAGGTAGAAATAATTGACCACAAGATCTGTTAAGGGACAAAGGCATCCAGCCA